CAGAGTTATGTTTGAACCTTACAGTATTACTGACCCTGGCCAGCTGTGTCCCAGCTACATGAGGAGACAGATCCCATGGCTCTGCTGGTGGCATGAGAGTGCAGGGCACTTGCCTTATCCAGGAGGAAGAAGGGTATTTCTTGCAGAGGCTCAGAGCCTCTGACTGCCCCCACAACAAGCCCCCAAATTCCGTGTTCCTGAATTTCCACTCTGCGGTAGTGCAAGGCTGGTTGCTCACAGAGACATGGCATTATCAGCTCAGCAGGGCTTGGGACACAATTCGAGAGCACAAAGCTTTTACTGGGATTCTTGTTCCCCAAGTGACCAGCTTTGATATGTCAGTAATTTAGAGCTGACTGGGAGATATTTTTAGAAAAACGGTTGCTTACTTTCTGATTGAGAAAGCTCCAGAACAAAGGTTTTGGGGAAAGTGAAGTGCAGCAATTTTGACAGACCTCGCCCAGAAAAGACTAGTTCAGCACATTTGTCACTTTGAGCTACCAGTTGCCCATGTGACAGTAAGGTGGTGGGTACCCTCTTTGAAGATTTCTCTGCGTTCTCAACCCATGATGGTTCATTCCTGTCACTGACAGGGCTTTTGTCCTAGTAATCATGAACCAAAATCCAGGATGTCAGACACAATATAAAATACGACATATACACATGATGGCATTTGCATTTTGAAGTCTGTTGGTGTGTACTAGCAACCTACATAGGGGCTTTGATTAAGTAATGGATCCATAATGTCATATGCTTGGAGAATTTTAAGGAGTCTAGACTTCTCTTATAGTAAGAGGGAAAGGTGCAAGACAGGTTAAACTGAGAAGGGACCCACCTGGGTTGTATTCTCAAGGGAGGAAGACTCCAGGTGAAAGAGGATGCCAGGTATGAGAGGCACACAGGGAATGTGTGCAATGGCAGCAAGCAGAGAGACCAGGCACCTTCCAGGCATTTTCTGAGATATTTGATAGCCACAGAGATCAAGAACAGAGCTTTCAGATGGTAATGACTTGATTGCTGAGGGAAGTGGAGGATGGAGGAGTCTGGCAGGTGAGCTAATGTTGATGGCTTCAATCCATGGACCGAAATAGCTGCTTCCTCCCCTCTGGGCTATTTAAGGGCTTGGCAGAGAGGCTTTTGGGCTCCAGTTGGGGCAACTTGCACAACCTTAGTGCAGAAGGGTAGCTGGTGGTTTGCCAGGTGTGTGATGTTGTTAAATTATAAATGAGAAAGGATTCAGACAGCTGTGCTCTGCATTGCAATCAGTGGAAGACAGCAGTCTATGATTGTTATCAAAAGGCAGATGAAAGATACACAGATGACGGAGGTGATTCAGTTAGCAGTAATGTCCATGCATCTTCATGGTGCATGAGGAGATTGCTAGGGAGGCAGCAGTGTCAGAAGAAAAAAAAACACTTAAAAACTCTGTAGGACACTTGGTAGGACTGGGGAGAAGATGAAAGTAGCTCTCAGGTGAATGAATTTGTATTTTTATTTTTTTAAGAAGAAAAGTAATTTGCCAGAGGTGACTTCAAATGTTGCAGTGTGACACTGCACCTGGACACGTGGGTCACGCTTATCTGTGTAAGGGGCTGGCATCTTCAGGAGCTGGGTATCAGTCACTTGCTCACTTGTGCTGTAATGCTGTGTGTGCAAAAAGCAAATTTGCTGGTAATGGGGGAAAAAAAAAACCCAACGTTTTTCAGGCAGCCTGAAAGGACAGCAGCAGTCCACCTGCAGAATGTGAGTCAGAGGGTAACTAACCTTGGATTCCTTTGACCGTTGTCTGCTTCCTAGTTCTGTTTGAAAGGACTGTGTCTTCATAAACACGTGGCTTCCCCACTGACTTTTCAGTGACAACTAACATTCCTGTTTCTGAGGAGTTATACACAAAATGGTAAAGACCTTTTGGGGAGTTTAAACTGATGCCACTTTGCTGATTTCAGTGGAGCCCTGCCTGTGTTCACCAGGTGTGGCTCAGCAGCTCTTCCTGAGAAGATCTAATACAGATGTCTTGTGAAATAGGAGAATACATACTCTGCAAGAAAAGTGAGAGGAGAGGAACGGGATTGTAAGGGATTTTTGGAGCAGGATTAATCCCTAGATAACCACCATCCATGTGCACTGTAACCACCAGGTCATGTTCCTAAAAGCCAGTCTTGGTCCAGATGAACTGAGTTGGTTTTGGCTATGAGAGAAGCTGCTTCTATATCAAAGAACTACCATCAAATCCAGCTACTTCTGGATTTGACCCTCTGTCAGTAGGAGCTAAAGCCTAGGACAGAGGCAGAAAAATGATATTACATCAGATGCAGGTGCATAGCTGAGCTGTTTCAAGGAACTGGCATATAGCTCTGTTCCGCAGAAATTATGTGTTGGTGCCCCAGGGCTATCTGACAGCACTGCATTGCTTTGGAATTTTTTTTTAATGCCAAATAGGTACAAATCTCAGGAGAATGACTCTGATAAATGAATCAACAAAAAGATTCCTCTTGATACCAATGGGCTGGTAAATGCAAAGTCCAGACAGGTGATCCTCTGTTGCATCAAGAATGAAGCTGGTCTGAGAACTGACCAGCCAAGGTCAGTGCTAACTCAGGTAGCCCAGCTTCATGCAGCTCTCTACAGTGCAATCCTGCCTGGACTCTTCCACCTGTAAGAATGTAGTAGCAGCCTAAAATACCTCCCAATTCCTTTGCTAAGAAGTCAAGCATTAGGATGTGCTTGCCTTGGTGTAAGACAAGCTGTGGCAGGCTGAGAATCATCCAGCTGTCCAGGTGAAGTTATAGCCTGCAGAGAGGCTTAGCACCTGTCAGTGAATGTAAGGAAGAAAGATCTGTTTTTCAGGGAAACCTGCAACAACTGCACATGCCTTTCTATCCAGCAGTTCTGTATTTGCCACTTCTACAGCCCCAGATCGTCCTCTTCAGAATACAGGAAATGCTTGAGCTCTTCATCACTGACATTGTGTTTAATGTTCACAGTTCACTAGATTAAGTAGGCTTGTTGCTGTGGGGAAATGTTTTTGTCTGACTGAGGATCGCCATCCTACCCTGTCATCTGTTCTCATTATTGTAATAGCAGTTTTCAGAAAACGCGTTGGGAGTGCCTGCTCGTGAGTAGTGTTCCTTTCAGAAGTCATTTCTAGTTGCTCTGGCTTGCCATAGGTCTCACTGGTCTGTTGTCTCTGCAGCTGTCAGTCTCACAATGGTGCTGTGCAGCTTTATTAAAACTGTCCCAGGAAAGTGTAATTCTGACTGGCTGAAAGCCTCATACTCTTACCTAAGAAAGTCATGACTTCATACTTTTGTAACTGTTAACAGCTGGAGCCAAACTTGCCTGTTTTGTGGTCTGCTGAGAAGCTAGATGTCTCCTCATCTCACTCTGGAGCAGAAAACAGACGTTGAGAAAGCTAGATTCAAAGCAGAGAGCATACAAACTGGTACTTGATGTCTCGGCTGTACTTGAATCAGTTTCCTTTTC